ATCCTGAGGAAACTGGGAACCACTATACGATCGCCCCTTAATAAAATGTAATTTAACTCGCATAATTCATTGGAAACAACTCGGTACTCAACTGGCAGCTCATGTATAGCATCTCGTTTCAACATTTCCAAAATTTGTTGTGTTTCAGAATCATCTCTTGAAGCATTTTGGATTTCCTTCCAGGATAATGCGGAATAATTGGCAGCATACAGAGCAACTTCGTTGACCATGATTTCCTCCGATATATCGAATGGAGTAGGATTTTCCTTTGCCAGACGAGAGAGTGTATCGGCAATGTTGTCTTTTCCTGCTACATGGATAACCTCGTAATCAAAAGTCTGCAGCCTTAGAACCCAACGTTCTATCCGTGCGCAAGGCTTCGAACGTACGGAAAACAAAAACTTCAGTGCTTTACAATCCGTGAAGATCTGAAACTTCTTTCCCAAAAGATAATACCGGAATCTTTCAATGCTCCACACGATAGCTAAGGCCTCCTTTTCCGTTTGACAATACCGTCGTTCTGTTTCAGTTAAGGACTTCGATGCGAAGCTAACTATACGGTGACGGTTTTCACAATCAAATTGAACTAGTATCGCTCCTAGCCCAGAAGGGCTGGCGTCGGGTATGACAGCCGTGCGATCTTCAACCTTGTAAAATCCCAAGTATCCGATTCTACTCATAGCTTCTTTAATCGCCTGCAATGAACAAGATTGCTCGTCCGTCCATAAAAACTTTGCTTCTTTAATTAGAAGGCGTCGTAATGGCTCATCCAATGTGGCCAGATTTGGGATAAATTTGTTGAGGTAGTTTGCCAACCCAAGAAAACTTCGAACTTCGGCTTCATTTTGAGGACAAAATAGCTTGGATTTTCGATTCGCCTGGTCTGATTCCGCTATGGGAGATTCTGTGCCCCAGAAACTCTAATTCTGTTACCCTGAACAGACATTTGTGCCAATCTAGCTCAACCGATCTCTCTTTCAATCGTAATAGTACCTGAAATAATTCAATTCATATTCATTCAAAGGAAATATTCATTCAAAGGAAATATTTATTCATTAAACCAAACAAGAAAAATAAAACTAATTCAAAAGTTCGACAAATAAAAAAAAAAATTTATGCTACCTACTCCAGGCGTTCGTCGTGTTCCTTCATATCTTTTCCTTCGATGATGATATCGTCCAAATACCAGTAAGTTCTATCGCAGCCTAGCAAAATCTCGTCCATGGCCTTTTGGAACAGTTCTGGCGCGGTCACAAGGCCGAATGGTAGACGGGTAAAGCGGAACAACCCACGATTCGTGATGAACGTAGTGGCATCACGTGACTCCTTCGCCAACTCGATTTGTAGGAATGCCTCCCTTATATCTAATTTGCTCAAAATTCCTCCTTTTCCCAAGCGCATGATGTAGTCATCGACAACCGGCATGGGATGATGCTTGAGGGACAGCCTCATTGACTCGACGAAGGTCAAGACAGAGACGCGGCTCGCCATTTTTCTTACCGACAACCACTAACGGAGACACCCAGCTAGTGGGCCCTGACTTGACCTCAATAATGTCACGCTGTAACAGTTGATCCATTTTTTGGTTGACAGCTTCTTCAAGAGGAATTGGAATCCTTCTCATCGGTTGGAATACTGGAACTGCATTTGGGTCCATGTGAATATGAGCCTTTATGCCTTTTATTTTAGTGAACGGCTTCAATGATTCGATCATTCGGTTGACCTGTATCCCCACACGTAGGACACCTAGCTCTTTAGCAGTGACGTCACCCAACAAGCAACGCTGGCCACCTTTCACAACAAGAAACTCTGCACGGACTTCACGTTCACCTACTGCTATGAGTGATACAAACGATCCCAAGATACTTAAAGGTTTATCAGTACCGTATACTTTTAAGATTCGAGAGGATCCCTTTGTGGAAGAGGATACTGTGACATTGTGTGACTTGAGGTCAGTCCGCGCGTCATCGCTTATCAAATTAGCGTCTGCACCCGAGTCAACGAGCATTTCCAGCTTCACACCTCCAACAACACATTCGATCACATTGGCCTCATTTCCAGAATAAAACGCGTAGTACACTTTATCCTGTTCACCATTTCCAGAATTTTTGCCTTCTGAGGTACATGCTTCTTCCAATTTTGTCACCACGTGTTCCTGCCGATCCTTTGGAATCGTTACGCTTACGTTTTCGGCACATCTTCTCGAAGTGTCCATGGTTGCTGCAATTTCGGCACTGCTTGTTGTGAGCAGGGCATGCCATCGATGCCGAAACGTGACCCTTGCGTCCGCAGTTGTAGCAAACTAAAGCCGGCTTAATGAGCGATTTATTGCTGTGCTTTGGGTCTGGTGTCGACTGCCCTACCTTGTAAATCTTCTCTGGTGGTTTCAACGAAACAATTTCCTCCACCTGTTGATCAACTCCCTCTTGCGATATACCAAGTGCTTCAATCTCAGCAAACGGTAAATCTTTCAACAGAATCCTTCTGCGAACCTCATTCGAAGTGCATCCTTCGACCATAGTGTCCGTCAAGTAGATCTCTGTGAGTATCTGAGCTAGTTCCGTTCCGTACTTCTCAAATCCACATTCCGTGGCCTGTTGCTTCAAACGGATGACATAATCAGCAAACCGCTCGTTTGACTTTTGCTTCATTTGTCGCAACTTCCTACGCTCAGATGTGCTCTGATGTCTTGGTTCAAAAAATTCATCCAATCTTTCAACGGCGGCATCGAACCCCCAGTTGAGCGCTACCACCGGTACGTGGTCATAGTCCTTGAGATTTCTGAATACAGTTTGAAGAGCAGGACCACCTGAGTGAAGCAGCTTTGCTCGCATGACCTTCTGGTCTATAATTCCGTAAGCTGCAAAGTAGCACTCAAGTGACTCCTTCCACGCTCGCCATTCTTTGGCCAGTTTACTCGTCTCAATTTGGTTGCATCGAAACGGAGGAATAGGGCGTATTTCCTCCATCTGCAATAAAACCAATTGTTTGCGTTAAACACAACTCAATAAGTGAATACCTAGTGTTCATCTTGGATATAAATTACATTTATTTAACCACGGATTTCATTTCATGAACACTCGAACGAGAACAACATTGAGTTTAACGGTCGGCACAATCTTACCCATGACTGCTTTTCCGAATAAAACTAGGACTAGGACTTTCGCCAGATCCGTCAGGATGTACATATGTGTTACATACGCAGAAAATTCCAAAATTCTACTTTTACAACAGTTGATCTTCATCAATTCCAAGAGAATGCTTAACATTCTCTAACAAACAAGGAGAATTCCGGAAATTCTCGCTTCTCTGGGAAGGTCAAATTGATTGGATTGAGTGTTCAAACAAGAAACAGTGGCAAACGTACCATCTGCAACCCATCACTTTGTCTGTCCAAGACGCCGCAAGTTTTAAGGCTCTTTCATTATTGTCACCCATGTCAGCAATCAATAGAAGGTCCCCATTATTGTCCGTCTGGAATTAATCGGGTAGATTATGCCTAACGTCCATTATGCCTAACGCCCATTATACCTAACGTCCATTATGCCTATCGTACATTATGCCTATCGTCCATATGCCTAACGACCGTATGCCTAACGTCGTGTACCCGTACTGGATAACGATGTTCAACACCACACGCCGAAATCACTGCTGCTGCTGCTGTGGACACCGTCGACCGGACACCACCACACACGGTAATTAAATGAGCACCGTTTAGTGAGACAGGATCTAATTCGATTTTTAAATCTGTGTTAGGGAATCCGCTGTTTGCAGGTAATCGGTGATAATTTTGATCACCATTGCAACAGTTGGACATTTGTGTATTTTTAAATAGTGACCTATTGAAAATTAATAAAGTGTTCAATTTAGCAGATTGGTAGATAAATTACCAATTCTTTGGCTTGTTTAGAATTAATATTCATCTGCTATTGACAGAGGTATATGTGGTCAAAACCTGACCTATTTTTGTCCCGCGGTCCATTTTGGTTTTTTTGAAATTGCACCCCCAATATGTTGCCGAAAGACGTAATCCTACGTCAAAAGTCAACACGAAACAACTGATTTCCACTTTCCACGTAAATTCACAAAACTAGAGTTTACCGAGGTACACGAATAACTTCAGTGAAGTGTCTTTGAATGGACTAAAACAATCAAAAACCGGCAGCGATTGAGCAGTGTTACTATCAAAACAAACAGTGTTCTTCAGAATCACTCCGGATATGGAAAAAGTCCATTACTTGAATTTACAAGTTGCTACATGGGTTATCTTTGGTATGTTTCGGAAACGAATGTATATTTTTATCCCTTTCATAATCATGAATTTCTGTTGCCATTTTTCAAAAAAAAAAACCCTCCTCCATCTCCCAATCGAATACACGCATCGAGCCATGAACTTCCTCGGCACCCGAAAAAAAAACACCCATAACGATGCTCCTTATCCGCCTTTTTTTTTCAACTCCTCCGAGAAAAACGGCTCAGCCGAAGGGAAATTTTCCACCCACCCTGCTGGGGCTGTGAATGATGTTGCTTTTTACCGGTTTTTACCCAAATCCCACTGAAAAGGGAAAAAGAGAATCAACTCACCTTGGATGGAAAATAAGCACTTTCTTTATAATTTTTGAACCCTCTGCCGAACGAAGGTTTGTGCCTGCCCGGTACCTTTCACTTTCACCGCCAGATTTATCGCATCCAACCCTGAAGGCTTATTTCGACCCGGGTATTTTTTTCTCCTCCCAGCAACGTTTTCGTTTGTGTCTTTATTCAAATGCCAGTAGGCATTAGGGAAGGAGAAATACGTCTAAGCTCTTCTTTCGGGGTTCATTGAGCGTAACTGGAGAAGCAGCTGCTGCTGGCTCATCTTTCGACTGGATGGTTAATTAAATCCGAAAAATTTTCCGCATGTTCAAATTCGTAATATTTTCCGCTTCGTCGCTTCCGGAGAAAGTTTAAACCTATGAACTAAGGCAAAATTTCGTGTTCTTCTTCTTCTTTTTTTCCAGTATCTTACAGCGTTCATGGATTGGACAGCGTTCACGTGCGGGTCCCGGCGGCGGTGACCGTGGGCAGCCCGGCGGTGTTGGTGTGCGAAAGTGACCTCCTCGACGAGGACCTCTACTCGGTTAAGTGGTACAAGGGGAAGCACGAGTTCTTCCGCTACACATCGAAGGAGATTCCGTCGATTAAGATCTTCCCGAAGGCGGGCATCAACATTAATGTGAGTTGTTTTCGTAGAATTTAAAATTGTAATGAAGTAGCATTTGTTGATTGATTAGGTTGACCATTGCAACGCGAGCCACGTGGTGCTGAGGGGCGTCGAACCGCACACCAGTGGGAAGTTCAGCTGCGAGATCACCGAGGCGGCACCGTCGTTTCACACTAAGATAGTCACTAGAGATTTAAATGTAGTAGGTAAGTGATACCCCCCTCGCACGATTCGTACTTTGTTTTCCTAACCTAAATCTTCTTCCATCGGCCCGCAGATTTACCGAAAGGCGATCCCCGGATCGTGGACATGAAGCCGTACTACGGTGCCGACGAGTTTCTCGAGGTCGAATGCATATCAAACGAATCACTGCCAGCGGCCCGGCTCGAATGGCTCATCAACGATCGGCCCCTCGGTGTGATACAGCCTCCGTCCCGGCTGGAATTTGCCACGTTGCCGGCGACGACGAACTGGAGCGACAGTAGCAGCAGCAGCAGCAGCAGCAACAATAGTAGCCCAACCACCACTTCTTCTAGTAAGAAATCCAGTAAGTCTTCCCTTCGCCAAAAGCAGCTCTACGACGTCGACGTCGACGAACCTGCCGGAGGATCGGCGTTGGACAGCAACTCGCTGCAGTACCACTCGCCGGAATTTACGGTGCCGGTGGCTGCTGCCGTAGTCGCCTCGGCTGCGGCCCTCTCACTGACGACGGCCAGCTCCCAGCTCGTGTCGTCGGCCCCAGCGCTCCCGTCGCCATCGGCCGTGTACTCCACGGCCCCGTCGTCGTCGTCGTCGTCTAGGAAGTCTTCATCCGGTGGCAAAAAGGGTGCACCTGTGGCACGGTACGAAACAGCCATTTCCCGATTAAAACTTCTGCTGGGACACGAACACTTCTACAAAGGGAAGATTAAGGTGAGTCGTCTACCAACAAATGCAATCCATCATTTCGTGTTTCCTTTTTGCGTAATGAAATGCGCCGCTGGCTGTCAATCAGAGTTACTCGCTATGGGATTCATTATCGATTGAGTTTTTCCGAATTCGCGCAAAGTGCGACCGCATTGTGTGTTTGTTGATGTGAACTGAAAACCGCATCCCAGGAAAAGCGCCAGTCTTTTTCGGCGAAATGAAAATGAGTTCGCAGAATGGCAGCAGTGGTGGAGTAAAAGTAGGTCGCTTTTGGAAGATTTCCAGATAATGGCACCATCGTCGTCGTCGTTGTTGTCATCCTCCTGTTGCCGATGACAGGCTTTGGAATCCATTTTTGCGGTGTTAGGTTTCATGAATTCGTGAATGTGACGTGCACTGCCTGGTTGCGTCTTTTTTTTTGTTTGTTTGGCGAGCGAAACGAGTGCTATTCAACAGGATGGGCTTTGTGGATTGTGGATTGGGGGTGGGTGACGATTTGAAATTTTCAATTTCCCGCGAGAGGTGTATGGTGCTAGCGAAAACAGGTTTTTTTTTGCGAGGGGCGTTGTTATCGCGGAAATGTCGCCTGTCAGTAGCGCTCGCTGCGAAAAGGGATAGAGATTTGATTGGAAAGCTGACTCCTGGCTGGATCAAGAGGAGATGTGAGGGGGCTGGGCGAAGGAAGGAGATTTAGGCCCTACCGTCATCGGTGGTGGTGATTTGTAGTGACAGCGGAAATGAACGAAATGTTATCCATATTAGAATCGAGCATTCAATCAATTTGAGCGCGTAGATTGAATGATTGATTTTTTGCAATTAAAATATAAAAGGGTCGAAAAGGGTTGCGAGATGAGACCGATAAAACGATTTGAATTGTAGAGCAACCGTTAAAATTGTGCTTCAACTATTGATCATTTAATAACAATTATGTTATTTTCCCATGTTTTCGAACAGAGCTTCCCATTTCATATGCAAATTCGTTAATCCGACGACTCGATAATACGGACCCCGGATTTAAAAGCATAAACACGCGTTTCAATACATTGTGCTGTCAATTTTCAGATTTATGCTAGAAGCATGCTATCTGTTTGTTTTGATTTTTTTAGTATGGATTTAACAGTCAGATTAGCGAGTCAAACCCAGGCCATGATTTTCTATCCAGCTGCAGCTCTGTCAATATTTACTATACAGCTGAACAGTTCCACGCCAACTGACGAATTGATTTAATTTTTCCCTCCCTGAATTCCATGAAATTCGCATAATTGTTCACCAGGGGCAATGAACCACTTTTTTTCCGAAATTCAGCCATTATGCCTCACGCCTTATTTTTCAAAGTTATGCCATTCGATATTTTTCAATCAATCATACACTAATAAAATTCCATAAATTTAATCAGTGTTGGCAGTGCTGATTAAAATCATTCCTTTTACACTCAACTTAGCTGAAAATGAAGACAACCTTAACAGATAGACCAACTACCTGAATGAATTTGAATTTTGACACATTATCTTGATCAAGGCAACCTCTGAGTATCGAAGTCAACATTTGTTTTTTGTTTCTTCGTGGCTGGATGCTTGTTATCGACTGTGTGTTGTCAATATCAATATTCGACTTCATCTTGGTGGGGATGATTTTGAGGATCAAATGCAAAATGATTATTTTCTTGCGGGTGATTTTAACATTAATTGGGTTCTTTAAGGGTATTGAGGTTAATGCATATTCGTAATCTGCATTAAAAATGGAACCCAAACCCAAAATTTCATTAATTTTTGGACACTGGAACTAGTTTAACGATTACATTTACAAAAATCACCTTATTAGCGCCCCTCGGTGTATGCGAGCTGTCAGTTTGTCAGTTTAGTGTCAAACAGTGTAGTTATTATTTTGCTTTAAATCTTGATTTAAAAATCAAGATGAAAGTGTGTGGGTTCGAAAAAAATATCACTGTGCTCAGAAAACGAAGCTCTTTCAGATGATATATAAAAACCGATATATTTTTCAAAATTAAAGAACCCAATTGGCATAATATTAGCAATTCGAATCATCTGAAGCAATTAGCTGATTTCTTTAATTTAAAACAATTAGTAAGTGAATGAACGCGTATTTCCCGGCACAGTAGAACTTTGATTGACATATTCGTTATCTGCATTAAAAATGGAACCGAAATCCAAAATTTCATCAATTTTGGTACACTGGAACTATTTTAAATAAGTACGATTACATTAGAAAAAATCACCATTTTAGCCCCCCTTGGTGGGACTTTGTACGGGAGCGAGCTGTCAACGAATAGATTTAGCAACCGGTGAACACTCGTGTTTATTTCAGTTACCATGGAGACGTAATTTGTGATTAGCCCCGGTCCCTTTCAAATTGTATCATTATTTATGAACGGCCTTATATTTGAAATGACGTTTCACATTCATCTAGTGATGTTCGATTTTCATTCGAATAATCGTTTAATCGATTAACGAACCGAAAAGTAAATTATTTATAATCGGTTAGATCATGCCGATATAAGCATTAACATCTCCACAGGATCATCACCGATCGTTTCAAACATGTGCTGCACTCTCATTGGTGGAAAAATGGCAGCACAGCGAACAAAAAATAATCGATTAGTTGTTAATCGAGTAATTAAAAAATGGGACATCTCTGATTTTGGTGTGATTGTTTTGATAAAAATTAGCGCAAAATTTCATCTCTTCCGAGGGGGCAGCAAAACTATAAAATTACCTTGAATACGGGGGGTTCTCATTCGATGAAAGGGACCGTGAAAGAAGACACTAAAATAGAAAGTTTTTCTTCCGACAGTTTATCTTAGTATTCATCTTTGGATTTAGTGTCAAGGATCAAATATTTAAATCTTAATTTAAAAATCGAGATGAATTTCTACGGGATCGATAAAAATATCGTTGTGCTCAGAAACTGAAGCTCGATCAGATGATCTATAAAAATTGGTATATTTTTCGAAGTTAAACAACCCAATTGAGCAGATTCGTAGAATGTTTTTCAATTGATTGGCTTGTTTTTTTTATTAAAATCCATCCGCTATTGACAGAATTATAAATGGCCAAAACCTGACCACTTTACGTAACGCGGTCGATTTTAGTTTTTTTTTAAATTACAACCCCAATATTCTACGCCAAAAATGGAAAATACTGTCAAATACCCTTCTATTTGGGTATTTTAGGAATCGAGATGACTTCAAGAGACCGGAAATCGTCTCCCGATGCCATTTTTAAATCCAATATGGCGGCTTCCGCTAACAGAAAAAGTGTAAAATACTGCCTAATAGCCTTCAATGTGGATATTTTTTTTTAAATCGGGGTAACATCTAAGGACCGTTAATTGATGTCGGATGACATTTTGAAATCCAAGACCCTTCAATTTGGGTATTTTTGGAATCGATATGAGGTCTAGGGACTGGAAATGGATTTCTTGAAATTTATGATGATGGCCTCCGGTATCAGAAAAAAATGAGAAATACTCAAGGGGTAGGGCACTCCACACACCAATCTTGGGTCAAGTTTTTTTTCTCAGTGTGCCGCAAGTGTGCCGATTGTGCCGGCAGTGCCGCATTTTTTTTTGTAGAATACGAATAGTATGATATATTTGGCAACCCGATTTTTCTGACAGCTTGAATGTTTTGGTTTGCAATAACAAGGATATCATCAGTCTAGCGACAAGCAAGGAAGAATGCTGGCGAGTTAGGCCGTGATACATCAGGATACATCAAAGACAAGAAGGAGGAAAACAATGTCGAAAATAACTTCGAAAAATACTAGGAAGGAGCAACCGCCATCGGTCGTATGAGAAGAAAAAAATGCTCTCATAAATGTGGTTACTACCTCATGGGAGCTGATCGAACCTGTTCCTAATTCTATCTGATCGGTTGTAGACAGTACTGTGAATCGTTAACGTCATCAATGGGAATTTGCATTGAAGACGTCAACGTCATTAAAAACCCTGGTTGTACATGAAGCATCAATTCGTAATATTCGTTCACCAGCCCCTTGAAATCATAAAGATATTAAGATAATAAAAGTCATGTGTATTAGGGTTTTGTAATGCCCTCAAAGGCAAACTAGATACCCAGTCTTTCGAGTTGTGAATCGCAACGGTCTAATAGCAGCCGGAAAGTGTTGGAACTGGTGGGGAACATTGTTGGAGACTGAATATTCAGGATGAAAAGTATGACTTCTGTAGTTTATTTTGTGTAAGTTGCACCGTAATTTGAATTACGGGTACTATTGGGGACTGATTAACTGCCTTTTACTTTAGAGCACTAGCGAATGCCTACATTGCTGCGAATTGCTGGTTTGGTTTCTGCTGGTCTATTCAATTAGAGGATGTTCCTGCAATATACAGTCAAACAGCACTTAATATTGTGAACAACGTCAATAACAGCTGTCCAGCAGTGCTCCCATTTTATTTAATGAACAATCCAATGCCTACGAGAATGCGCCCAAGCTGTACCGAATCTGCTTTCGTTACACTGTGCTGAGTGACTTACCCCTTGGGGGTGGTCACTCTACACGCTTATTTTGTCTCAACTTTTTTTTTTCATTGTACTGCAGCTGTGCCAGTAGTGCCGACAGTGCCAGTTACCATGCCAAATTGGTTTGCTTGGTAATAACGGCATGCTTGGCAACCCGGTTAATTTGACAGGTCAAATGTTTTTTTTTAAGGTCCAAGATGGTGATCTGAAGCCACCTCAACTGGACAAGCTGATACCGGACAAACGGGAGCAACCCTTCAGAAGGTGTTTGAGTTCCTCCGACCGCAGTAAATGCTTGGCAAAGAATTTCGCACAATTCTGCAACCGCTGGGACAAGCTGCTACTGTGGAAATCGCTCTTCCGAAATCGAAATCCGCTGTGGCGATCCATCGATGGATACGTGGCAGCAAACCGGGACAACGCGGATACACGGTTTGAGGTGCTTAATGTCATGAACAATCTTGACAAAAATAAATTGTACTTGTAATTTATTTAGTCTACCATATCC